TCATGAAAAATAAAATGATCATTGCATGTTTCATGAACAAAAAAATCCTTCCGCTTTCCTTTTTTAGTGGAAAATAACAATCTAAGTCGGGGAATTAGGAAGATGGTAGTAAATTAAACAAACAAGTTCAAAGATTGGGATTTTAACTGTGGAGTATTTACCTTTGATCACTGCTGATACAATTATTAGACTCCATTCCCCCTTCATTGCCATAACAGGCTGTAATACATTTAAATAATTTGGCATCCTACTAGTGGAGCTTATAATTCTGACATGAGTTTTGCCAGTCAAAATATTTTACTATCGCAAGGAAAGTTCTGCCTCACCCCCAAGGGATCAAAGGCAGAATAAGGGACTGTTTTCATGATCCTGCTTTGTCAGGATGATGATTTTGATTTATTATTTCACAGAGAGAGCCATATTTACCTGTAAATGAAAGGTTGTTCAAGCAGAAATAATCTTCTTGAACTACAAGATGTGAATGATGTGGATTTTGTGCAAGTACATATCAATTGGACGAACTAAAGCTTAATATCACAACAGTTGTAAGGACAATAACAGCTTTAATAAATCTTGTTAAATACATTCATCAAGCTAGTGAGGATGACAACTCTTGCATCCAGTTGGTACATTTGAATAATGTACAGCACCAGTTGTTACAGCGTCAACAAAGTCATAGTCTCACGACTAAAGCCTGTCTGTGTGGTAATAAGACATCAATGTTCATGTTCCAACACCTTTTAGACACCATCTTAAGCTTGCAGGAGAAAGTACTCCCAGACATACACAAATTCTACATGACTTTGTTCTGATATTCTTGTATGTTACAAGCATGTGTGGTTGTTCGAATGAGATACGTACCTTGCAATTATTTATCGAATTCGTGGAAAAAAGGAATTTCATTTTGATTGGAAAACTAAGTGCAATGTATTTGTTGTATCTGCTGATTAGGGCAAATTCACATTGTACAAAAATGATTTCAAAAATCGTCGAAGTCATTATGCCCTCAAAATTTGAAATACATGATTCGATGTTGCTTATCTCCTATGTGAAAGAATACATTAGAAAAAGGACTGATCTTCTTTGAGGCAAATCTCATTCTTTCATGTTTATGACAGTGATCGGTTTGGCGTTTACATCATCATCTTTTACATTATACTTGTGTCAGAAACTTCATGTTATATTTATAAAAGTATTTGTATCATGTGACCGTTAGGGTCTATTCCTAGTGTGATCGCATGTGCTGACAGTGATTTGAGGAGTTGATATTAAAGCAAAAATTTAGTGAGTTTGTGAGTATTTAGGAAGCATTTAGATTATCAAAGTGAATATTTCGAGTTTCACAAGATGAATTTTCATTTCAGATGTCCTTAAAAGTTCAATTCATCAATTTCAAAAATGTATACAAATCAAAGAAAATAGTCATGAAAATTATCCAGAATGCTGGAAATGTCATTCACTGACAGATAAAGTGGTGTAGCTTTAAATTTACACTCCTTGTTTATACTTTGTTTTGACTAAATCCATCCAATGAAGGGGCTTTCACGAGGGTTCATACGAAACTTGAAAGTCCTTGAATGTCCTTGAATTTGAAAACAAAAATTCAAGGCCTTGAATGTCCTTGAATTTGTAAAGAAGAACTTGAAAGAAAGTACTTGAATTCTTCTTGCTTTAGTTTTTGGATATTTTCTGAAATTTTTTGACATTCAAGACGGACATTTTGTTGAACTGTTTTTGCATGTTCATATCTGACCTCATTATAAAGTTACGTTTTGAACAAATCAACGTCAGATTTTGCTGATTTCTAATGCCTTCTTCAGTATTTAGTCCTTGAATTTGCTGATACATGGCCTTGAATGTCCTTGAAAAATCCTTGAATTTGACTCTTCCTGACATGTACGAACCCCGTTTCACTCGAAACATTGAATTTCTCCTTATATTTTTCAGTCCAACGAAAAAGCTTGGTTGGTATACCTTACCCAGGCCAAACCTGGCACCCTGTTCTTCTGGCCCATGCCTTAGTGTGAGGGTGTCAAAGATTTTCTTAAGTGCTCTCGGGCAGATGTCTTGGACAACACAATGGGTGTCTTGTCAGACATGATGGGTGTCTTGTCAGACTGATGACATGATGGGTGTCTTGTCAGAGTCAAGTGATGTGACAAGAAACTCAACATCTGTGTACAATGAGAACATGTTCCTGTTCTGAAATCCACCAGCCAACAACCACACCATACCATCATGAAACCTATCAGCAAAGCACTCCAGCAAGCCCACACTCCACTCCCTCAGTATTCCCTTGATCTCAGCAGGTAGTCCAGGCACCATTGATATTCTATTTCACGATACGAGTTGGATTTGCTCCAATTTAGCTCTGTTGGGCACCTGACTTTGTGTCTGTTGTCCATCTTACTCACAATGGCGATGGGCGCTTCCAATAGGTTGTTTTTCAGGAGGACACAGCCGATGTTTAACTCTAATTCCAAATCTTCATTGACTTCATTGACATCGAGCATCATTGTGATGCAAAATTGATTTTATGCAATCCAAATGGTTTGCAATGTACCTGTGATCGGGCAATTTAAGTGTAAATTGAGATTGCTGTTCATTCATCATTTTGATATTTGCAGGCATATTTCTACTTTGTAAATTGACCATTTGCGTAATAGACTAAATTTTGAACTAAACAAGTCTAGACAAAAATTTCATCACAGCTTGAAGGAGCATCGCAAAATTAGTAATATTCCAAAGTTTCGTTGCAAAATGTTGTAAAATGCGGAAAATATAGCCTTGCGAAATTTGCAATTTTCAGTCGTTTTAGATTACAAACGGGAAATTGACAGCCTCAAGCCCTTCGAGGCTGTCAATTTCCGGTTTGTAATCTAAAATGACTGAAAATTGGAAACTTTGCAAGGCTATATTTTCCGCATTTTACAACATTTTGCAACGAAACTTTGGAATATTACTAATTTTGTGATGCTCTTTCAAGCTGTAATGAAATTTTTGTTGAGATCAAAATTTAGTTTATTACGCAAATGGTCAATTAGCAGTCTCAATTAACAGGTCAGTGAAAATTTGACGAATATGAAGTTCTTAATATCACAAGCTATATAAAGCATTCGCATTGCGTTTTATCATAAATACAACCTCTTGCCATCATGCATATTTGGATACAACATGACTGCTGATGGAATTATGACCGTCTAATTTATAACCAGGTTGAAGGATTTGGCTAAAAATTTAAATTTTGCATGCTTATGCAATAATTTGCTAACCACAATATAAATGTGATTACTATAACTTGAAAATGATGCATGCTGTAGCATGCAAACATTGTTTAATAAATGTAATATTGCTATCATTTGTTTCAAAATTATCCTCTGAAAAGGGATAATAAAATAGTTGCAATTTGTGCATATTCCAAGTATGTTTTGCAGTACATATTGATAGCTACACTGTTCTTCATAATTCATATGTATGAAATAATGAAAGACATTCATATTGTTGTTAGCAAATCATTCAAATGAATGAGGTTTTCCATGTTTTTTTCAACCGGGTTCATCATATCTTATGTGTCGACAACCTCTTACACCATGATCCCCTGTGTTTAAAGGTTCTGAACCAGAACCATTAAATACGGGGACCCTGGGTACGAGGATGATGTGTCAACAGCTTTTGACCAAACATCGGAACACGACAGATTACAATAGTGTGTTAATAAAAATGGTGGATCATTGAAAATTGAAACAAAACACTGTCCCTTTCAAGTGATTCAACAGGACATCAGAAAAACAAAAATGGTCAAGGAAAACAGAATTGTCATCAAACATTATCGAACTTTTTGCACAAACCAAAGGTACAGATTGTAAATGATATTGTGTGAACCGGAAGTGCAGTTGCAGGAATATTACTATTAGTGGCTAGTGAAATGATGAATATCAATGAAAGTCCTTCCACTTTGAAGGAAATCTCTGTTCGTAAGGCTTTAAATTTCAGTTACAAAAACGTCTTGTATCAGATCACACAAATGTATCTTTTTGTGAATTTAAATTCACAAAATTCCGCGAATTTTGGACAATTCTGCAAATCGCGGCATTCCAGAATACCTGTATAAACTCCTGTGAGTTCATAGTCACAAAATATCCTCCTCCCCCCCTTTGGTACCATCCTACCAATTGAGGTATTTGAGCACTCTGGCCCAATTACACTCTGCACATGAATAACTTTGCTCACCTTTCCAAGTTCGCTTTTCGTGGGATTGATCAAACCACACATTGGGTGTGAATCGAAGTTATCTTCATGATCTTTCAGGGTGACAAATGCTTCTCTTTTCACCATTATGTCAACGCGATTTCCAATTCTGAGGTTGTTCATCAACTCTTTCAGCTCTTTATTAATCTTACCAGAGCCTCGGTCAGAGAAATACCTGCAGATGTTCTGCCATGTGATATTGCATAGGAATTCTGCCATACATAATTCCATGAATCGCGGCATTCCAGAATACCTGTATAGACTCCTGTGAGTTCATAAATGTGAGGTCACAAAATATTTTTCTCCCCCCCCCCCTTTGGTACCATCCTACCAATTGAGGTATTTGGGCACTCCGGCCCGATTACACTCAGCACATTTGTAGATGTGTTGATGCCTTCGTGTTGTACCACATGCGCTTGGTAAGAGTACGCTCATGTGTATAAAAACAGATGTATCATGTATCTAGACGGTACTAGACGATGTATCATGTATCTAGATGTATCATGTATCTAGATTTCTGTTCCAAGAAAACTGCTCTGTAGAATTTTTTTAAATTTCGAAATATTAAAAAACGCGACTTTCAGGTTAGCTACACTAAAAATTTAAAAAATTCACCAAAGGAAATGAAAGTTAAGCGATAGGAAAAATGCAAAAAACTTACACGGCCAATAGAAATTTCAGTTCGACAAGAATGGCATTTGCGCATGTCCGTGTGTGTTGCGTGGTGGTCTTGCACGCCATCTCTTCGCATTTTACTGCTCGCTGGCGATTTGTTCGAAGTATTGCACGATAGCAAGCAAAATTCGCTTCGATTTTGTCACTCTTGGCTTTTTGGATCCACGATTGTTTGTCGGCGGGTTAGACAGAACTCCAATCAGTCCATTCCTGCCAAACTGATCAGACAGACTTTGTAAATTCGCGAAGCTCAAGCCACTGCTGGCGATTTTCTCGACCATGCCTTTGCTGATTGTTCCATGCAGTTTGGTGTTGAGTGTCTGTACAAGTTGATGTCGTTGGTCTAGATACAGATTATCCTGGTAAGCTTCGTCAAATGGAATTGCTTGACAATGTGTGATCAGATCTTTTTCCGAAAGGTTTAACGGCGAGGAGAACAGAATACGATGTAGAGCTTTCACATCTTCAAGCGCGTCGTGGGCATCGAAGCCTTGATCAAACAAAGCCTTGTAAACAGCAGACTGGTTTAAAGCACAGCTATCTCCATTTCAATCTTTCAGAATCGATTCTTTTACTAAATACTCGAACAACGAGAGACTCCAAAAGACATCTCCAAAGAAAATGCCCAAAGACTGAAATTTTGCAATAATATTGCTGTTGCTGTTATGAAGTATGACTGGGACATCAAATCGCTTGGCATTGTGCCCAACAAGAACTGTACAGACCTTATGTGCTGTCAATTTCTGGCATTCGCGAATGGAATTCTCGAGGTAGTGGATGAAACGAGATAAAACTTCGTCACAGGTTAGTGCTAATACAGGATTTGATTGTTTAAATAGTACTCTCTTACCGTCTACAGTTTTTATCGAAAGGTTGTGTTTACTCTGGATGCATATTTATCAATATTTTTATTTGGCAAAACATACTCGGAAAATGATGCGAGAGTTGTCTGATTTATAGCTGCCAATTGGCATAATTCTGCTTGTTTGCCTGTCATATTTGTTTCAGTGTCGAATAAAACAATGTTATAAAATACTGCAGCATTGTCGTCGAATGCTATGGGAGAACATTGTGGTCTGGGGGTATAGGGTGGGACAAATACTTCATAGGAAGCTAGTGTGTCAGCTGGTAGGTCAGGGCAAAATAGTTCTTCATTTACAGTGGTACTGGTACTAGCTGTAGGTAATGTGAGGCCAATACTTGTCTCGTATGTCTTGCCCTCCTTCTTTTCACTTGATAGTATGCCGTGTATTCGTTTGGTGTGAATTTCATTCCTTCGCTTCTTGAACTTCAATGATTTCTTTCTGTTGTTGTCGCCATCTCTTTTTCTCTTCATTCCGTTGACATATGCCTCACGGTTAGTACCAGGTTCAATCCCCAATGAATTCAGTGTTCTACAAATGTACCCATAACCAACATTGGTTTGTGCCACTGCGCATGCCACACGAAAGTCATTGCTTTCGCTCCCACCATAGAATCTAATCTTGGGATTCTTTGAACCAACTGTGCTGTTAAAAGACTCATTTCTCTGAGAAGACTCATTTCTATGTTATTAAAAGTTAAAAGACTCATTTCTATGTTATTAAACAGCTGAACTGCAGATGTAGGCTCCATAGCTTTTGATGAACCACTATGATTTTCCCGGCAGTCATGTTTACGGGGAGTAGAGTTAATTTTTTTTTGCATGATCACAAATTCTGCATGTTTTTGTCTTTGTTGTGTAGTCCATTATTTTTCCAGTGTGTAAGCCCATTACAGCTCCTTGTCCTGTGTTTGAATTGAAACCTTTGCCACGTTTCTGCCAACCCATGTCATACGAGCATGAAATTGGAACAAGATTATTCTCGTCTGGTGTTTCACCAATTTTAATTGCATGTTCTTTCTCTATTTCTACAGTTTCAACACATGTGTGCCCTTCAACGGCTTTACCAGCTTCTCGCTCACAGGTTTTGAATGAAGCCCGGGTCATGGTTGGGATGTTCATAACTGACAAGATGCCATTGAAATGCATCTCACCAATTCCGGTATGAAGACTGGCTAAAACTGACTTTGTATTGATGTCATATGCCATTAGACCAGAGGCTCCAGACTTGTGGGCGAGTGATGTTTCAACAACATTGGTTTGACCGCAAAACTGACATTGAATATATAGCTTGCTAGCTAGACCATATAACTTTTCTTGTTGTACATTGCTCAATGACAGTGGTCCTTAAAAATAATAGAGTATTGCCATTGTTTTTATTGTTTATTTCATACCTTTATACATAAATTCATAATTATAATATATTTTTGTTTGTGGAAACAAAACTATTATATGTTTTATCTTCATGCAAACATAGAAAGAACTTATAATATATTTATACAAATTTAATCAACTGACACTTGTACATTTTGAAAACAGTACTTTATTTTATAACTATATAGTGACCAAATTATATCAAAATTTTGAATCTAATTAATTCTGTATTTGAAGTGGAGAAATTAAATGCTTCACATTTGCCTTTGTTTACCTTCTTTGCAAAATGGACAACTCTCCAATCCTTTTCTCAGTTGGTTTATGTCAACAATTCGGCTTCCTTGAGGTAAATTCTCTTTTATTTCTTGTTTTGCCTAATGCCAAATCATGGAGTACGTGAATTATAAATTTTTAAACAGACCTAAATGTTTACAATGATAAAAACGTCTTGGTGTTTACGTTGCCCACCGTGCTTTCCCTTGTATTTATCACGATGTCTGTTGCTGGTTCAAACTCTTCGTTTTCGTCTTTGTTTTCCTCAACCTCGCTTGAAATATATTCATTTTTCCAAGATTGAAGCCCCTCTTGTAATTTTATAATATTACCTCGATTTCTTTTTTGTATTTTCTCAAATTTTCCCGTCAAAGAACGATTTTTAAAACGCGCTGCCATGTTTGTTTTTAAATTTTTATATATCGGCATTTAAAAATCCCGCGCCGTTCCCGCTCGCGCGACATTTTCTCGCACCACGCGATCCTGTCCCGCAACGTGCGAATTGTTTATTGTTACCAGTCCCATGCTTTAACAACTGTAGGGAGCCACCTTAATTACAGTATTTGCAGACCATTCATTTACATTCAAGTCTACTACTACCACACCACCTGTTACACCTAACCAAGATTCATCTAACAAAGTGAAGATAAGAAAGCCCAGATGCAATCTAGAATTAAACAAAACAAGTGATCAAGGTAAGAGGTATTGGCTGGCATTATTAAAATTAAGATTTTGGGATGCATGTTTACATTTATATGTGAATATGATCAAATGCACTTTACATGAAGTATTACGTTAATGTAATGTTTACACTATTTTACTTCACATCAACTGTGATATTACATTCCTAATTATTCTATATCTTACCCCATCCTGTAAACTTTCCCTTTCTGAGGAAACCCACAACTTTCGACAGAGTGTTGGCTTAGTGTTGGCTGAGTGTCGAACCCTGACGAACGAGAGAGGTTATAATTCATGTAAATTGCATTTTAATAATATTCAATATATTATTTAATATTCAATTTGAAATCAATGGTGACGTCATCACCAGAATATAGTCGATTTCTCGTTGTTCTGCATACTTATGACAGGGGCCTTTTTTATTATTTGATTTGGCATGCTTCTGTACTACGTTATGAAAGAAATCATTAACCTTCAGATATGTGCAACGAAAACCACTCTCTAGGCATATTTTTGGCCTACATGTAACAGCCTAGTTGTCATGGTAACACCTCAAGAGTCAAAAATGAACTTGATAATTTTTTAAGAATATTGTCCAAAATGAAAAATCCCCTACAAATATCACTTTTAATGACAAAATTATCAATTTTCCAAACATACATATGTTAGGTATATTATACGTAATATAAGCTTCAATTCAAGGTAAAATTCAACCACAAACGCTTTGTAAAACTTTTAAAATGTTCTTTATAAAACTAAACTGCCTTTACTTATCGATAAACTTTGCGTTTGAAATAAAATTATTTCAAATTCTCACATGCAAATAACTTTGCTTTCTTTTTTATCAGACATGTTTAAGAAACCACCTGTACAGCGAACAGTCCAAAATGTCAAAGAGGAGTAACACAGCAAGCAACTCCACAACTACATGTTGAAAATCTCATCTATTTACCCTTCGATCATGACAAAACACAGCCTCAAAGTCACTATCTGGTTGTGTCCATTGGTAAGCCATGGTGGTTTTTCAGAAAGTTCTTGGGTAACCAGTTACGTGCGTTACCGTACAAGGTGAGAATCAGTGAGTGCCACTTACTGTAGTTCCCGATCAAAAACCAAAAGTTCCAGCCATCTGGCCAAATGAAAGCAATCCCTTACCAAACTGACAGATATGTGGCAGATATATGTCACAGTTCTGTAAAATATCTGCAAAATATATGTACGAAAGTATCTGTCACATATCTGCAACATATAGGAATTTGGCCCTATAACATATCTGTGACGGATATCTGTCACAGTTATGTGACAGATATCTGTCACAGTTATATAAGAGATATGTCACAGTTATATGACAGATATCTGTCACATATCTGCAACATATAGGAATTTGGCCCAATAACATATCTGTCACAGTTATGTGACAGTATAGTTTCCCTACAGATAAAATTATCTGTATATTATCTACCAAGCAGATATGTCACATCACAGTTAATAGACTGAGATGGTTAGGAGAGCCGGCAAACTTCAAAGCAAAATCGCAGTGGGCGGCATTTATGTCGAGGCACAAAGGAAACAAATATCATGTGCACAGGAAAGGGGACACGCTTCAAAGATTTATATAAGATCGTATTACAGTTTTGCTGATTTTCTCAAATATATCGAAACGTTTCTTAATCCTGGAGCCGAAATCGCCATTTTAAGATAGTTTTATGTGAGTAAGACGATGGAGAAAAGTTTGAAGGCGATTGAATCTATCCCTGAGCGTGTCGAGGCAGAAATCTTAGGAAATAGGAGCGTACCCAATGAGTTGCCATTCGTTGACGAAGGGGATGATGAAGAATCTAGCTTGCCTTTTCATTTTGAAATCACCATGGCCGTTATGGACGAAGACGAGGAGGCCGTTGAAAACGTTTTTGTTGAAGCTGCTACGGAGATAGTGGGCGAAAAAATAAAATGTTTCCATGTGAAAATTGTGAAAAGATTTGTAAATCGAAAGCTGGCCTAACGAGGCATGTAAACGCAAAGCATGGCAGCAAAGCCACTGCAAATGCAAACATTCCTTCCCTTAAGAAAGATGAACTTACGTCTATCGTGAATAAAGTAAAAGCAAAGATAACAAAGGAGGGTTATTGGGACACAGGAATAACTTCGGATTTGGTAAAAGTAACTTCGAACGATAACCTTTACGAAGCTGTCTCGCCAGTTTATCAATGATTTCGTAAGAAACGAAATCAAGATAATTTTCTCATCGAATTTTATGAGCTTATTCCCAAGTCATCTGCCCTCCTGAAATGCAAAAACCAGCCACTTTGTAGCCTGGTTATGATAAGCATATCTGATCACCTAGTAGCTTTGTTCAAGTCTACCAGTGGCAGTGGAAAGCAGAAGTCTGGCACTTCAAGTGAAAGCACAGAGCATGTAACAGAACTAAGCAAACATGAACGTGGACCCTTATTGCTGGGTACGTATTGGCGAAATTACAAAAGTAAACCAAATGAAGAACTCCAGGTTGTGTTACAGAGCATGAAACGTCCCAGTGTTGAGAACACATATATTGACACACGAAGTAGAGGTGGACTAGTGACACCATGTAGTGATCTAGTGCAAATCCTGGAGGTTGTGGAAATAGTATTTAGACAGTTTATTGCCCAGCAAACATCAGTGGTTAGTACTATTCCATGTGATACATTATGTAATGAAGCACTGGAGTCAACCATTGCTTAAGTCACTGTGGGAAAACATTTTGCTTGGATGCAAGGACTTGTCGAAACAAACTACCAAGCTTTGTCTTGAAAACATTATTAAATTTTATATAAAGGTTCGCAGTTTTTCCTATGCAAGAGATTACATCAGCAAATTTAAAATTAAGCAAAAAGCAGCAAAGAGCAAAGCACTGCGGAAAGAACTTAAAAGGCATAATGTTGATAAGTAACTTGCTGACTGTCTTGTTTTGTCCCTGAGGAGGGATTGCAGAATACCAGTCCACTTTTGATAGCTTGTTTAATTAAACAATTAAACAAATAAATGAATTAAAAAATTATTTCAAAACAGTTCACAGTTAAAATTCAAAGATAAAACTCCAAGAATATGTTGCTGTGATTAAATACAATGTAAGTATTTGAAGAACGAAGCATTTGAAATTGGCGTACTTTCCTCATTTCGCCATGTTTACAAGGAAATAACAGGTATAATATGTCAAAGTGGACGGGTATTCTGCAATTTAGCTGTCCCGAAGCCTGTAAATAAAAAATCCTGCTCCTTCAAGGCATTTCTTTTTCTCACATGTACTTTGCTAGTAATTGTTCACATATTTAGCTTTCTAGGTAATAATGTAATAAAATGTTCCATTAAGACATAATTTTGTTCAATGATCTCTACCCTTCATGTCAACAACAAAAATATATACTATCAGGGCTTCAAATTTGTGATACCCCAGCGATAGCAGATTTTAAATTTGGATACTGGAAATCACCAGCTCAGTATCCCGAGATCGAGATACTGAAAAAGTTTTGTCCACAACTGAAATTTAAAATGGCTTGGAAAAAATCCTTTTCATTGGTATCGCTTGTGAACGAAAAGATGTTTTGCAAATGTGGGATACTAGATTTTCTGGGTGGATACCAGATTTTAAGTTGCTAGTATCCCATTGGATACTCAGGAAAAATTCAAATTTGAAGCCCTGTACTATTATACAACTACATGCTATATATGTTAATAAATGAGCCTTTTTCATGTAAGGCATGACAACAAATGAGGGGTATAATAGTATCTACCAAATGTACAATCATCAGGAGTTGTACTTGAGCATGTAATAACAAGAATCAGCTTTTATCTATTGACACTATTAGCTTCTTACCCAGGTATCTCCTAAATTGCTGAATTTGCTAGATGCTGAGTTTGAAAAATACAAAAGGGAAAGGGGATGTGTGGGTACGAGAGTATACATTTACATTCAGAAAATGTGTGTGTCTTGCTACGACAGTTCAACAACTTTGATACTACCAGTTTAGAAATGACTTCAATCATCCAAGGTGCAAGGCATAAATATTACTTCAAATTGAACTTGATACTCCATTTTTCTGGTTTCAATCAGCTTCAACAGCCATGCTCTTCGATTCATCTCTAAAGAGCATGACTGTTGAAGCTGATGTAGTCTGCTAATACCCTAAGAGTATCATGCCACATATAGAACCATGGTTGAAACTTACCATGTGACCCAAAAATCTAGGGGGCCATTCACAAAGGATGTCCGGCCAAATGATGGATTTTCAGACCC